AATGAGTGAATTTTTAATATGGTAAATGTTGATCAATATAATTCATATAATCAAAAGTTCTTTCGGAATCCTACATAATTTTTAAAAGTAGGAAGTGGTACTAAAAGAAAAAAAATAAGAAACACTGCTGTAAAGTTTTTAAGTTTAGGATGGCTCTCTTCCTATTAATATCTGACAATAGTTGTCAAACAATATTGGAATAGTAATTCATTGGGTATTTTTAATTATTTATTGTTGCTTGAGAAGTGAAATATACTTTGTATTATGGGATTTTATGATATTATTATTTTATAATTTGTTGGATTGTGATTGTATATTGTGTTACTAACTGTCCCAAAGTCTTAGGTACAGGTAACATACAAATTATTGTATAAGTATAAAAATAAGAAACACCAGCAATCTAAAAAATTTTGCTTGTTTTTAAATGGTGTTTCTATCAGTAGTTAAACTATCCAGTAGTTTAATTCTTCTGTAAGCATTTTAAATTTGATTAAGGTACCATTAATACCCAGGATTACTCTGCCTACATCCCAAGTCTTATGAGTTCTGTGTCAGGAAAGACCAAGGAAGAAGATGCTTAACAGAATTTGTATTCATTGCTCAAACTGCATTTTATTTCAGCGGCACACACAGCTTCATTTGAGTAAGTGGCCGGTGCACGTAACCATTGCAAGCGTGAGTGGAACTGCACGCGCTGGTGCTCATGCTCATACACGTGCTGGACCACCTCTCATGCAGCCTGGTTGCGAATAGGCCTTAGCCTGGGACTCCTAAATTATACAGTTTCCTATAATGATTTACATAATAAATGTCTTTCTTTGAAAGCTGTAACATCATCTTATATAATGCTATGCTTTGCAGATTTTGTATTTGAAAATACTTTGTTCTCTCAGACTAAAGAAAGCCATAAATAAGAAATAATTTAATGGGCGTCTAATTAGTGTTTAAATTTAAAACAGAATGCTAATTACCAAAATTCTACAGTGGGGCAAAAAAGTATTTAGTCAGCCACCAATTGTGCAAGTTCTCCCACTTAAAAAGATGAGAGAGGCCTGTAATTGACATCATAGGTAGACCTCAACTATGAGAGACAAAATGAGAAAACAAATGCAGACAATCACATTGTCTGATTTGGAAAGAATTTATTTGCAAATTATGGTGGAAAATAAGTATTTGGTCACCTACAAACAAGCAAGATTTCTGGCTCTCACAGATCTGTAACTTCTTCTTTAAGAGGCTCCTCTGTCCTCCACTCATTACCTGTATTAATGGCACCTGTTTGAACTTGTTATCAGTATAAGACACCTGTCCACAACCTCAAACAGTCACACTCCAAACTCCACTATGGTGAAGACCAAAGAGCTGTCGAAGGACCCCAGAAACAAAATTGTAGACCTGCACCAAGCTGGGAAGACTGAATCTGCAAGAGGCAAGCAGCTTGGTGTGAAGAAATCAACTGTGGGAGCAATAATTAGAAAATGGAAGACATACAAGACCACTGATAAATTCCCTCGATCTGGGGCTCTTCGCAAGATCTCACCCCGTGGGGTCAAAATGATCACAAGAACGGTGAGCAAAAATCCCAGAACCACACAGGGGGACCTAGTGAATGACCTGCAGAGAGCTGGGACCAACATAACAAAGGCTACCATCAGTAACACACTACGCCGCCAGGGACTCAGATCCTGCAGTGCCAGACGTGTCCCTCTGCTTAAGCCAGTACATGTCCGGGCCCTTCTGAAGTTTGCTAGAGAGCATTTGGATGATCCAGAAGAGGATTGGGAGAATGTCATATGGTCAGATGAAACCAAAGTAGAATTGTTTGGTAGAAACACAACTCATCGTGTTTGGAAGAGAGAGAATGCTGAGTTGCATCCAAAGAACACCATACCTACTGTGAAGCGTTGGGGTGGCAACATCATGCTTTGGGGCTGTTTCTCTGCAAAGGGACCAGGACGACTGATCCGTGTACAGGAAAGAATGAATGGGGCCATGTATCGTGAGATTTTGAGTGCAAACCTCCTTCCATCAGCAAGGGCATTGAAGATGAAACGTGGCTGGGTCTTTCAGGATGACAATGATCCCAAACACACCGCCCGGGCAATGAAGGAGTGGCTTTGTAAGAAGCATTTCAAGGTCCTGGAGTGGCCTAGACAGTCTCCAGATCTCAACCCCATAGAAAACCTTTGGAGGGAGTTGAAAGTCCGTGTTGCCCAGCGACAGCCCCAAAACATCACTGCTCTAGAGGAGACCTGCAATGAGGAATGGGCCAACATACCAGCAACAGTGTGTGCCAACCTTGTGAAGACTTACAGAAAACGTTTGATCTCTGTCATTGCCAACAAAGGATATATAACAAAATATTGAGATGAACTTTTGATATTGACCAAATACTTATTTTCCACCATAATTTGCAAATAAATTCTTTCCAAATCAGACAATGTGATTGTCTGGATTTTTTTTCTCATTTTGTCTCTCATAGTTGAGGTCTACCTATGATGACAATTACAGGCCTCTCTCATCTTTTTAAGTGGGAGAACTTGCACAATTGGTGGCTGACTAAATACATTTTTGCCCCACTGTATTTTTTTAAAAAAAATAGAATATGGACTTTCAGTAGGCCATCTGACTGCTTCTTGGCTAAAGATCTCCAGGGCTCACTTTTTTCCAAATGAAGAACTCACCAGAGACAGTAAGTTTCCTAGAAATCAGCCTCCAAGTCATCTACACCAGCGGTCACCAACTGATGGTCCATGGACCACTGGTGGTCCGTGAGAAAATGTTGGTGGTCCGTAGAAAAATTATTTGCATTTTTTATATTGCACTAAATACTATTTATCTTTTTTTAAAATATCATATTAATGGTCCACGGGATTTAAAATTATGAATTTAGTGGTCCCTGAGGTCTGAAAGGTTGGAGAACCCTGATCTACACAACAGCAGTTTGTGAGAGTTGGCTGGTAAGTCATCAACTAGGAGACAGGATTAGCAGTTCATTTGCAGTGGGGAAAAAATCCAAATATTTCTTTTTTTCAAACTGCTTCTTTTTTTTGAACAATAGTTCATGCCTTCTCTATCTTAATCATCTTTTTTTTATTGTTTACCTTTATTGATGCAAAAGACTATGCTATTCACTTTTTGAAGAGCTGTGCTATTTTAGAAAAATCATGAATGCTCACTGATGAGGACGATGATAAGCTAAAATAAGGAAGTTTTAAATAACTTTATTTTTATCATCTGTCGCTGAGAAACATACGAATTTAAAATTTTAAAGCACAATTTTGCCTATTTCTATGAATCTGCCATGCTTATTTGATAATAGGATCTATAACTTATAACTCTGAGGTGCTTGATGTCAGAGACTAAAAACTTCCAACCTTAGCTGAACCTGACTGATTAAGTTATTTCAGACTTGTAGGTCTGCCACCTAAAAGATTTGTTCTTTGGCCACAAGAGGGAGCCGAAGAATATAAAAGAGTGGGAAAGCCAGGTTTGATTATATAAACAAGGTGAATATCAAATTACAAAGGAGGAAGCCAACTCAGCTGGATGTCATGAGAATCATTTTAGAGAAATGTTCAAACAAAATAATTGAAGCAGTGGGAATAAAGCAATGAAACCATGTAAGGAAACTTCTCAAACCACTGGGGATGTTTCACAAGAAAATGACAAAACTGACTTTTTGAAATACACATTTCAAAAAGTGTGTATTTTTAAAAAGGGTATTTATTATGATGTTGATTCAAATAAAATTGTTTTAATGGAACTAAAAGTAGATCTGCAGGTGGTTGATTTAAACCATAAGAGAACAAGTCCAGGATCTCCATTCCAAATTTGAATTAAAGATTGACAATTTGTCTTGAACCTATAGGTTTGAAATAGGTTTTAAAATTTGATGAATTGGTTTTTAGAAATTTTGGAACAGATTGTTGAAATTGAATTTAGAAAATGAATATATTCAATTGGATATGATTTTAATCTAAAAGAATTTTTTTACAAAATGATATATTGAATATTTGTTAGCATTGCAATTGTAGGATGTAATAAATGTAGGGTTGTAGTCATTGTAATTGTAAGGATATTCATTTTTAAGAAATGTTTTGATTTTTAGAATGGATATAAAACTGATATTAGATATTAGATAATTTATATGATCTCTCTCCCCCGCTTTCTGTCAGAGAAAGAGACATGCTGACAGCATTATATATAAAAATTCAGTAAGGATAAATGGAAAGATATCTTATTTCTCACAATGGAAGGATAGATGGAAAAAATCAGTTGACCTGGTGAAAATGGTAAAGCCAACTGTTGTAAAAAAAAAAAAAAAGATTTCCTTTAGTTTCGTTCCCATTTGGACATTATATTCCATGTAGAATAGAAAAAAAATGAAATTTTAGGTTAAGGATTGGTTTAATTTTGCAACTATATAATTGTCTTGTTGTTATTCAAAAGCAAAACGAAAAGCTGAGGCTGTATTTGTATTCTACTGAAAAGAGTAGGAAATCACTGCCTTTTTCTTCTTTTTCTCCTATTCCCTTTCCCCTTTTTCTGATTTTTATTTTCATTTGTATTTTATACTAGAAAAAAATATTCTAATAAAATTTCTTAAAAAAATAAATAGAATATATAAAACAGAAGATTTATATTCCACATGGACAATTCAAAAGGAAAATGATACAGACATGAACCATCAATCCCAAAATGATAATGTTCAAAATAAGAATCTCTTATAGGGAACCTTCTACAGAATCACAGTCTACAAATGATAAGCTCTTCATTAGAAAAGGAAAAAAAAGGGAAAAAATTCTTTAATAATTAATGATTTTATAATTGAAGCAAGTTGTTTTAGTTAATGTACCATAATGTGTTTTACAAATATATATTGCACTGTTTTGTTCAAAAGGACTAATAATCTAAAACAATTCCCAGTTTTCAATTTTTTATGTAAGAGCAGGGAGGTTACAAAATTAAAACTTGCTAAAAATGTTAAATGAACTTACCAGAAAAATTCTTTCAAGCTGATCTTGAATATCTTTCATTCCTGGAAAAGCAGCAACTCCTTGAATCATTTCCACAAAAATGCAACCAACTCCCCTAAAAAACAAGAAACATAAAATAAATTACAGGGCAAAAAAATCTGCAAAAACCCTAGTACACACCCTGCAGATAGTTTTATTGGATTCTTGACTATGAGTAAGTATGAAAAAAATTACTGTTATTGCCTATGAAAAACTCAGACTTGCCTTTTTACAAAACAGCTTCAAATATAGCTTTGAAAACTATATCTTTCTGTTCACAAAACTATATTTGCTAGAAAAATAAGAAACTCTCTCTGCATGTTTCCATAAGAATTATTTGAAAAAAGATTTGGAGAACATGTGAGACTGAGTACACCAGTATCAGAAGAGATAGAATAAAGAAAAACTTCATAACCTTTGTATTTTATTGATACTAGTGGCTCACATTTTATTTATTTATTTGTACATGTATATAGCAACTCAACTGGAACTTTGTGAAAGACCCTCACTCAAGACACTTGTTCAAATGGGGGAACTATCTGCTAAGACAACCATATGTGAATCAGGATAAAAATATAAACAGTTTTTGTAAATATTTTTCTAAAATGGAAGGAAAGTGATTGTTTAATTTTGATTGCAGACTGTTGTTGTTTTTTTCTAACCAAGAGAATTGCGTTTCATGACATAGACATTGATGATCTTGTACAGAAACCTAGTATTGAAATAAAAAATGTGAGGGCAATCTGGCTGAGACATCTGTTATCCCATTGATCGCCAGGGTTTGATTAGGTTGATCTGGCTGGCTAGGTAGATGTCCCCTTCCTCCTTCATCACTCCATGTGCGTTCATCCTGAAGCTGCGCGCTCGGTGAAAGAGGATGACCATCCCAGATAGAAGAAGTGTACCAATCTTTGGTCAAAGACATAGGAATAGAAAAGTAACTTTAACCAAATGTTTGCATGCAGTTTCATGGAAGTTATATATACATGTACAGTCATGGAAAAAAAAAATGGTTCCTAGCATATAAATACTTTTTTTTAAAAAATTCTTAGATTGCAACTACAAATTTAAGAGGCAAATTTGTGTGCTATTCTCAATTTTTAAGATGACATCACAAATCATTACACACTGCTATTAGAAATTGCCATGAAATAAAGTGATTGGGTGCTTAAAGAACAAAGAAAGTGATATATGTATACCTTCTTGAATGTATACATACTGAATACTTTCCACACAATTCTGAGGCTTCTTTGAATTTCTTATGACTATTATGTAGAATATTCAATTCACAAGTCATCAGTAATCAACTTCAGCAATATTTTTGTATAAAATTTAAGCTTAATATGGAAGTCACTAAGTCATAACCAATATTTCTATGAAAACTACCGTGTTTCCCCAAGAATAAGACGCTGTCTTATATTTTTTTGAAACCTAAAATAAGCACTTTGCCTTACTGCCATGCGCTCAAAAGCCCAATTGGGCTTATTATCAGGGGATGTCTTATTTTGGAGAAAACAGGGTATTTCTGTAAATGCACATTAACAACTTTATTATAATCAAAATAATTTTGCAGTAACCCACCACTTTTTGGTATAGAAATGCCCCCCCTACCCAATTTGATTTAGTGATTAAAGGTCTAGACTAGAAACTTCAATGTTGGAATCATTAGGAACGTGGATTAATCTTCCTGATTCTCTGGCTGGACCCTAAAATACATTTGTGTTTGGTTGGGCACCTCAAAAGACCTTTCATTTATACCCAACAATTTAATGTTTAAATTAGTATTCAATAAGGAGAGGAGAAAGGAACAAAGAGTACAGCCTACTAATATGCAAGCAAAAGAACCAAACATCCTCAAATAAATAAAATAAATAGAAATAGAAAAATTATATTTAACCTTCAGGATTATTTTGTTAATATTACATGGATTTATACTTGTAATCATATTAAATAAGGATACTAACAACCCTAAAGGAAAAAGGCAATAAAATAATAAACTGGGGCAGCTTTATATTACATAAAATCTCTAACATATTACAAATCACTTACCGGTAGTTACATGGTGAGACTAAGACTAGTACACTATAATATATTCCACAATGATTCCCACTGCTTGTTTTTACTATTACTAATGCCATGGATAGCTTCATTCATATTCTTAAATAGCTAATGGCTATTTACACAGAAAGCTGGAGAATATTAATACTGAATATGAATCATTAGCTTTTGGTTACTTTCCAATGCCATACAGTGACAAATGGAGTGTATAAATAGCTTACAGCCACTGCCACCTGCTTCCCACCATTGTCCTGTGGTTAGATTTGTATTTCTTTGCCTTTTAAAAAAAATTCTTAACAACTATAGCAACCAAATACTGTAATTTCCAGATGAAGGTTTTATGACTGATGAATTATGAAAATTAAGGGATAACTTGGATGAGTTGCATGGGTGTATAGATTTGCAAATAATATCCATGAATATACTTTATTTCTATTAATTTCTACATTCATATTTCCACACAAATCATAGTTATACAGTACACATCTCTACCTCTATTACAGAGGAATCAAAGATAAATGTAATGTACCAGTAACCACAGTTACAAATATTATTTTCTTCTGTATTAATTTCTCAATAACATTACCGCTTTGTTATACTATTTCTGATGTTTGTACAGGTATATAGGATTTCTATTGTAATTTAAAATAAATATAGAATTTCTATAATAGAAGATAGCAAACACAGATATAGGTAACCTGAAATAGATTGCATTGTTATCTATATAATATTAAAGTTATTGTGTCTTTCACCTTCAACCAGGTGAAACAATGGATCATAGGGCAATACTTTTTTGAAACAAGAACCTCAAATGGGCTAAAACACAGAATGCTAGGTCCCAATATTCCCATGGGAATTAAACTTGTGAAAGTTGTGGCCACTTTAGTGCTTCCATAATCAGATTATTTCAATGCTTCCTGAGAGTTTCCCATAAATCAATAGGAAAGCCAGCAGGAAGAATAAAGTGATTATTGATGTTCCATACCAGTTTCAAACAAATAAAGGTGGCTGACAGGGAGCATAAGCAATGGTGAAGCCAGCAGGATTAGTCACTAGATCTCATGCTCCAGCCACTCAGGCATACTCCCCAACCTGAACCTGAACTAAGGGGGAATTCCCATGCACCCTCCCTTACCCGTGATCACCCCTTACACACTTCTGCACACCTCTTCCCAAACCATGCCCTCCCTGACCCACACACATCCCGAGCTTCTTCTTCAATCCCTTGGTACTTCTTGTGCACCCTTTCCAACCCGTGCTCCAATATCATATGCTCTCATTAGGGAAGATATAAGTAGTGCACAAAAGGCACCATGTAATTCAGGAGAGCGCACAAGGATGCAAGGAAGTGCACAAGAAGTAGTACATAGATCAAGAATATAGCAGAATGTAAAGGGTGCAGGTTGGGGACGGCTGTGGCCGGGAGGTCTTTTTATCAGGTTCACCTGATTCGCCAGTTGTGTCCCTTTCTGGATCGGGACTCGTTAAATACGGTCACTCATGCCCTCGTCACTTCACGCCTGGACTACTGTAATGCTCTCTACATGGGGCTCCCCTTGAGGAGCACCCGGAGGCTCCAGCTGGTCCAGAATGCGGCCGCGCGGGTAGTTATGGGAGCAGCATGGCGCTTCCATGTGGCTCCCCTCCTGCGCGAGCTGCACTGGCTTCCTGTGGTCTTCCGGGTACGCTTCAAGGTCTTAGTTACCACCTTTCGAGCGCTCCATGGCTTAGGACCGGGGTACTTACGAGACCGCCTTCTGCCACCAATAGCCTCTCACCGCCCAGTACGCTCCCATAGAGAGGGGCTTCTCAGGGTGCCGTCAGCCAAACAATGTCGACTGGCGGCCCCCAGGGGAGAACTTTTTCTGTGAGGGCACCCACCATCTGGAACGAGCTCCCCCCAGAGATACAGAAGATTCCGGATCTGCGCACTTTCCGCCGTGCCCTCAAAACATTCCTGTTTCAGCAGGCCGGCCTGGCCTAACTTTCCCTTTATATTACTTTTTGATTTTATTTTAAACTGGGATGTCTTGAATTATCTAAGAGCAGAGTGTTTAATATATTTTAATTGGTTTTTTATTAACGTTTGTATTAAATGTATTTTTATCGTTCGCTGTTCACCGCCCTGAGTCCCTTAGGAATAGGGCGGTATATAAATTTAATAAATAAATAAATACATGGGGAGAACATGACAGATGCCGTGTATTTATATGGACGAGTACATGGGTTTGGAGATGGGTGAACGTACTTCTGAACTTCTGAAAATACTTCTGAACAATAAACCAATCATGGATTATCTAGTTTAAATAAACAAATATGTTTTTATAACTTGCAATAAAATAAAAAAATTAAGGAAATGATCCAAAGAAAAGTTAATTTTAAGGAGAAACCTAAATTGAATTAAATAATTTCAGACAGTCATTCTAGGAAGATGTTTCAGGCATAGGTTTGTGGGATAGGAAAATGCCAAATAAGTTTTGGTAGTTGAAGCTGGTTAAATGTTACAATATGAAATACATCTAGATGCAGTGGTTATAAAGCAGTATTGAAGACAAACTCTGCCCACAGCCTGATTCTGATTTGATTCTGATTCAGCCTTCCATCCTTCCAAGGTCAGTAAAATGAGGAACCAGATTGTTGGGGGCAATATGCTGACATTGTCAACTGCTCTTCATTGTCAACTGAAAGTGCTGTAAAGCACTATGGAATGCTATATAAGTTTAAATGCTATTGCTATATGTCTAGAAATAAACAAGAAAAAAGGATGAGAAAAATAATAATCAATTCTAAGATGAAAGGAAAATTATTCTGTCAAAAGAGCCTTAATTGGTGGAAGGCTTTAAAATTGTTCTGAAAGGTCAGAATGGTATTTTTTGACAATATCCTGACAGAAAAAAATAGAAAAATTTTCTATTTGGGAGCATTTTTGAGATAACTACAGTTTAAAAAATATACAATCTAAAACAGACCACCCATAACCAAAATCAACAGTTGAACAAAATAAAACAAAAAGGCAGCCCAACTCTACCACAAATCCTCCAAATAGTCTAAATAGATTTGTGTAATGGCTTTTTGCAAAATAACAACATGGAAGCAAATTTCAAGTGAGGTTATACATAATATCGGGACTATCTCTAAAATGGCAATAAAATAGCAGAATATAAATTTAATACATATATAAATTGGATTTATAAATTTGGCAGCCCATGTAATGACTGCAGCACCAGTGTTTTGGTGTTAAATCAGATTTCACCATCCAGAAGCAAAGCAGCTGTCGTCTGAACCAAATGCAGTTTCAGGCAAACTTCAAAGGCAGTCCTCTGAAAAGTCTGCTATAGTAGTCTAATATGTCTGTGTTATATAACCCCCCCCCCCCCATTCAACCATATCTGGTTATCGGAAACTGCCTAGACAACTCCTGCTATTTTGCTATAGTATAATACAAAAAATAATGCTGTTTCTGTATGATAAAGCATATAAGGTGAACAAAATTATACATCTGCACAGAGCTTTTTTTTTTTTTTTTTAGAAATTACCATATTTTTTGGAATAGATTCAGCTGAAATTCAGTTGAAGATTGTGTGAAACATTGAAAGGCTGCTATCAGATGTACCCAACAACTACATATATCTACTGTAACCTGTTTGATTGTTTGCTGCAGACTGCAGCTTGAATTATAATTTTGGTGGATTCATATATTTGATAGATGTAATCAGTAATGCCTCATTTTTCACCTGGAACAAAAGCATTTTTCCTGAAAGGTCCTTTATATCTTTTTGACTTTTGAAGACCTACATTATGAGACTTCAATATTTCATGATTATTAGTAAAGATATTATTTTGTGTCCTCCAACTATGATTAATTTCACCTTGGAAATAGTCATATGTATTACTAGGAAAATAAGTCTTTGATTGGCTTGATAATCTCCCTCAGAATGAATTTCATTTTAGAAATCTCATAACATTAAAATACCTCTATAAAAGTTTCAAATCTAAGAGTATATTTCTGTCAAAATTATGATCTTTGAATTTATCCGATCAAAAACTGGTAGTCATTTTTAATCAGAATGAATGACAACATTCAATTAATTTGTACATACCATTTTCACTATCCTAAAAGAAAATCAATGATATGAAATTACATTTTCATGACCACAAAAAAAAAAAAAAACCAAGCCCACATTCCCAGAACAACAAATCTTAAGGGAAATGTTGTCTATTGATAGCAGAACCATATTTTTGGACATAATTTTAGCATAATGCAGGAACTGCAGGAGTACAAACAAAAACAGAGAACAAATGAACATAGAATTTCTGCTCAAGTTAAACTAATCACCCAAATTTTCTCTTCAGTTATGCTACAATAACAGAAATCTGTTTATCTACAAAAAAGTGCTTACTCACATAGGCAATGTTGAATTCAAGCACCCTTGCTTTTTATTGTTGGACCCCAGAAACAAATGAAAATTTTTACAATTTGCTATAGAAGGCTGACTTCAATATCATGTGTAGTAATTTTCAAGCACAGATGGTAAAGAAAAATGTGTTTTTTCCAATTAAACAACATGAAAATTGATTTCAGAAAATGGAAATGAAACAGTAACATTCTACTTCCATGCCAATTACTGTAATTTACTCTCACCCTCTCCTCCTCCTCCTCCTCCCTAGGTAACACAAAGAAAGTGCATATGGAAGCAGAATGCAGTCTTTTATTTCTGTTTGATAATAGTGAGCAAACAGTGAGGAAAGAAACAAAAATCCTTTCAAATCTAGCATTCTTAATTTCCTAAAATTTGGTTGGTGAAAAAATGTATAACAGCTATTGTGTTCCACTGTACTTACTACCAGGAGCCTGGATGCTTGGAACTTAGCAGAAATGTTAACTGCCCCATCTTCAAAACAATGCATCTACATTTTAAAAGCTAAAGATAAAACCATCAGTAGTTATATAATTTCTTCCATGTACAGATTAAGTAGTTGTAAAAATTCTCCAAGGAAACCTAAATTTTAAAAATTGATAAATAAAAACATTCAAGACACTCTAAAGCAGTGCAATGAAAATGGTGAAGCTTTTTTCTGTTAATAAGTGACAGTCTTCTGGCCTCCTTCCATCTGATCTGGCAAGTGAAGTTCAGCTACTTAGAGAATGCCATTCCAGTGTTCTATTATTGTGACTGGTGGTTATATATGGTTCTTCCTTTACTTAAAGGAAGAAGAAAAAAATTCCCCAATCGTTTGAATTAAATTGTTTAAATTAAAACTATGACTGTCTTATCAAATGCATAGATGACGGTAAATAAAATCCACAAAAAACTTGAGATTTTAGAAATAGGCTAAAATAAGTGAATGAAATTAAACAGTCAGACAATTTGTTCCTTTTCAATCTTCTTTCAGTGGATTTTAGATACGCACTACACAAATAAAGAGCATCATATTGATTACTGTTCAACTGGATTCTTTGTTCCATTGGATTTCTAGATAGGTATGCACAAACTACAATCATAACTTGTCAAATATACGATTTGTCTAAACAAGTTAATATGTCCATAATATATGGTTTCTGTAAAAGTGCTGCATTCTTACCACATATCGAGGCAAGTGGAATATTCTGTTGAGCCTAAGAGAACATCTGGAGGTCGATACCAAAGGGTTACCACTTCATTAGAGTATGTGTGACTAGGGACAGATTTAGCTCTTGCAAGACCTGAAGAATAATGCAAATACAATAGAAAGATAAGAAAAAATAACTGATGTGCCTTTAATAATCTTGCTCAAAACACTGCTTGAAAGACAAGTTTTGATAACTGTATGTTATTTTAATCAAAGAAAACTAATATTCATTTCTATCATTCAACCATTGTAAAACACAATGAAAATTCATCATCATAATAGAGATTGCAACAATAAGATTTGTCATCATTACCATCTTTTTAAAATATCTGGTGTCCATAATTAAACAGAAGACAGAAATTATAATTGATATCATTTAAAAACTACTAAAAATAACTACTAAATATAAACATGCAGATACAGTATATCCTTAAGCATCAGCACCTAAAATAAATAATATAATCAAAACAACAAGAAAATATTACATCTTTATCTATTTTACACTACAATCATTTCAAGCTTCAAGCATGTGCTATACTGGAGCATGCTAAAGAATGAAAAAATATTAATTTTCTCTACTATTTTAACATTTAATTCATATAATATATTATTCTTCGAAGTTCATACAGTAGGTATCTAGAACTGTTGTGACAGATAAGGATATGTGGAACATCAAAAATTAAAATATTTATCACCAAGAGAAATTTCTTCTTAAATCTCACTGCAGGTTGATGCAAATAGGAACTCATGAATAAATGATAAAAAACTGTGGAAAGGTGAATGTTATGGGAAGAATGGCAACTATGGTATCCTTTTTAAATTTTTGTTTTCTAAAATAACCAGACTGAATAACTTTAATATATTATTAAGGTGTGCTTGAATAGTCATATTTTTTTATAAATGACCATAATTAAATGAAAACATGTCTTGGTAATTTGGCAAAAAACATAAAAATAAAGCTGCTATTTCTGAATAGTAGTACTACCATTAGCAATTTGAGAAAGACTATATTTCTTCCAAAAATTGTTCACAAAAACCAGTATAACCTTGAAGTTACTGCTGTTTTTAGAAGATCAATTGAAGAAATGCACAAATATCACATATTTTTATTGTGGCTGTAGCCTGCAAAAACTACTGCATCAGACACAAATATACACTCAGAAGGAAGATACTCTGTCATATTCTGAGTTTTCAGAATCAGAATAATCGGAGTCTTCCCTTCCCTCTCTATTAGAGATGAAGAAAATATGTTGGGGGTTTTTTAGAAGAGGAGGAGGGCTGGGACTCAGAGGAAAGTAATACTGCTTGTACAGCCATTGAATTTTTAAGAAGTGGAAAAGTCCAGAGAAGTGAAAATTCCAGATAATTGCCACTATGAACATCTAGTATTTTATATACAGGGCTTCTATCTCCATTGGACAATCCTAAACCTTATTTTGCTAGTATGTTAAATTTAGGATATAATATGATAATTTGCACACACTGTTAAGTCTTTATTTTATTATTATTAGAACATAGGTTGATCTCTTCAAATTTGTTGACCATTGTGTTATTCTCCAGATTTGCTGGCCTGATTAGAACTTTTACTTGTTTTTCTGTTGCTTGCCATGTTTCTATGAGTATTACATCAGTTCCTGTAGTCTTCTGACTAAGTAATGACTGGAATGCTGTTCTAACTTTAATACCAGAGATTCTTATAAATAGGAAATATCCTATAAGGTAGCTGTACAGTATTTCAATATCTCATTTAATTTTTGCTTGATTTCTTTGAAATCAAACCGGTCTATTGGTATCCTTTAACATATAACATATCAGTTGAAGCTTGGAATCTCATTTTCAGTTCAGAAACTTTTTTGAAATATTTTTTTTCGCCAGGTTTATTTTTCTATCTTCTATGTCTTAACATATGCTATTGTAATGCTCATTCTTGACTCTTCCAAATCTCTCTGAAATTCTTTTTTAAATTCTTTCTGACATTTTTGTCCTTGGTTTTGGCTTCTTTAATTTCCTTGACAATTTCCATAGTTTGTTCTGTCATCTAATTGTTTTCTTGTTTGACAGACCCAGGAAAGTGAACTCCAGTCTTGCTTTAGACATAAAAATTGGCTTTTTATGTCTAATCACACTCAGGCTAATCACACACTCAGGCTGAACTCACAGGGTTGTGGTTGTAGGAAAAATAGGTGGAAGGAGTTTTAGGTATGTTCACCACATTGAGTTATAAAAATAATAAAGGCATCTTTAAAAAATTGTTCTTGCTATACCTTGCCTAGTAATATAACATTCTTTCTTAGCTTTTTATGTCCTAGGTAATAAATAGTGTGATTTTTTCATCTGAAATGTCCAATCCCAGGCCCATTCCCAATTTTATGATGGCTAAGATATTGATTTCTAAATTTCATTTCATTTATTCTTTTACTGTGTTGAGCTTCCCCATGTTCATGCTTCTTATGCTCCCCTGTGTTACAGCTTCAGATTTTTTTTCCTTATATGGAAATACCACCAATTAAACTTTCAAAAAACCTTAACTGAGTCATATCATTAGTACACTGAAAAATTCTCAGTTTTTCCTCAGTGGCATGTGGAGTGCCATCTGATCTGAGAGGTTCATCATCTGGCATTATATTGTAAATCATCTTGTATTTTCTTTCTATGTAATTTTCTCAGTATAAGTCCAGAAATAGGTTCTTCCTTGGTTTAGCTGGGCAGCTGGGAAGACCCTCACAGGCTGAGTGACCCTGCTGGGGATGAATACTCTTGGCACGCAAATCCAAAGTTCTTCATTCATTCTTTCTAGGAATTCCCCATTACCATGAGGAGCGAGCACAGTAGGATTTGGAGACAGCAAATATCATTAAACTTTATAATGTAATTATTAAATACTAATTTGTAATATTTCACCATCATTTGTAGAAGACAGTAGCATTTTGAGGACTGCCTAAGTCACTGAATCTTCTTTTCAAGTCTTCCTTTTAAGTTGTCAACAATAGCAGTTGTATGTATAAGAGCCTGGGTGGCACAGTGGACTAAGTGCTGTTAAAGTAGCACTTAGTTGCCAGCTGCCTGCAATTATTGCAAGTTCAAATCTCACCAGGTTCAAGGTTGACTCAGCCTTCCATCCTTTCGAGGTAGGTAAAATGAAGACCCGGATTGTGGGGGCAATAAACTGACTTTGTATAAAAAAGAACACCGCTTGGGGGGGGCTGAAAGCCCTACTAAGCAGGTATATACAAAAGTATGAAGGCTATTGCTTAAAACATTGTAAGCCGCCCTGAGTCTCCGGAGAAGGGCGGCATATAAATCAAACTAATAAATAAATAAATAAATAGTTCTACAATTTGTTTTTACTTTACCGATTTACTTATATTTTATTATCTCAAATTTCAAATGAAGATTTTAAAAAGTTAATTCTATTTATCTCTTGTGAGATTAGTCCAATGACAGGATCCAGAGTTATATTATCTAATTGTTTGCACCTATTCTACCTAGATGGGGTATTGAAATTATTACTTCTTTTTTCCCTGCATTTGAAATTTGGCAATGTAAATTGCAAGATCCCTCATCCTATCCCATACAGATGTTGGGAAAGGATATTAGATGATGTGCCTGTATATCAGTGGTGGTATTCAGCTGGTTCTTTCCAGTTCGGGCAAACTGGTAGTGGCGGCTGCAGGAGGCTCTGCCTACCCGCCCGGATGTCATCATGTCCCGTTTTTGATGCTCTGCACATGCAGAGGTGGCGCACATGCACGCTCCCATTTGCGAACCGGCAGCGAAGGTAAGTGAATACCACCCTTGCTTTATATGGTATCTACTGTTGGTAGGATCTGAGACTATACTCCAAAGCAGAAAATGAAGTTGGGGCTGAAGACCTATCAATCTTTTATCTTCAATCTACTTGTGAGCTCAGCTATTCCACTGCAGTTTTTAAATCATATTTTAAAATTATTCAATATCTTCAATCTTTTAATGAGCACGGAAAAAGATGGAACAATAGCATAGTAACAATTATAATCACTGCATTTAAATAATTTCAATATTAAAAGAATATATGCCTTAAAAAGGTATATCTAATATGAAATTAGATCTAAAGCAATGTGAATTTTTAAATATTAGTGTTTTATTTTTCTCTAGTCTTAGTAAAGAGAGCCAGTTTGATGTAGGCTAGAAACCAGGACACTGTGAGTTTTAGTCCTATCCTAGGCATAAAGCCAGCTATGTGCCTTTGGGCCAATTACTCTACTCTCAGGCCTAGGAAGCAGGCAATCTAAGATCTTCTCAAGAAATCTTCAAAAACTTGTCCAGGCAATTGCCAGGAGTTAACACTGACTTGAAGGCGCAAAATGAAAAACAAAACAAAACAAACATTCTTAGTAAAAACCTATAACTAGGTACCGGACAGCTGAAGGCACAAATTTCAAGACACACTGCAATATTTTGTCCTTTTGCTTTAAATACAATATTTTAATATTTACTACATTTAACATTATATTTAAAAACAAAAGTAAATTATAGATGGTCAGAAAGAAGAACAAAGTAATTAAATATTCAAGAAATACACAACTACGATATAACAGGCCTAAATTATTTAAGTAATTACACTCTCATGACCAGCAATCTGAATTATCAAACAATAGTTCAGCATCGTAGAAACAATTGTATTGTTGTCATTATACTATAGCATTACCAAAAACCTAAAAGACTGCATTTACTTTAAGACTTTCAGGTTACAAATAAAAGTTCATTATATCATTATTGGCTTTTCCAATAATGGCAACATATTTCATATTATTTGTGAATCCATACATGGATCCCCATCCAAAATTTATCTAACTGCTTCTTCCAGCTGAGAGAAAACTGTATGACAGGATTAATTAGCACAGCATGTGCAATCATTTTGCTTAAGGATGTCTTGTCTATTTCCATGGTTACACCACAGGAAGCCACACACTCTCTTTTTATCGTGAGAGTTCATGATATTGGTAGATATGGGAACTTTTTAAATTTTCAAGTGACAGTGAAAGCAAAAACAAAAGGCAATTAGAAAAAATATATAGTGAACAGATATATTGACAATTTTGGCCTGGATTTATATGAATAACTTCATGATAATTCTGTGAAGGGCTTTAAAATTAATAAAAAGGTCACTAAGGAGGCATCCTGCTGCTACACCTCAATTCTTTACAGCAACAAGACGATTAATAGTTAGAACTCAGCATATCATCTAATTGTCAAGTTATCATATGTTCAATAAAAAAAATCTCAAGAAAATAATAAGTGAAGGACATGTGTTATTTACGCTACACTTTATGTCAATGTCACTACTTATACAGCATATTCAAAAACATCTAATGTCAATTAAATGACTGTGTACTAACATTTAAGACATTAAGAATGCAGTTAAATATGTTTCTACGTTATCAATACCAGTGAATAGTGTTAATATTTGGTCTAGTGGTTAAGATACCAGTCTCAAAAGCCTGAGACCTTGAATTCATGTCCCACCTTATCAGTGAAAGTCAGCTGGGTGACTTAGGGCTAGCCACTCTTTTTCAGCCCAACCCACCTTCTAAGTTTATTATTGTGGAGACAATATGGGAAGAAGATGTGTTGGATATGGTTACCGTCTTGAGTTACTTGTAAACTTAATAAAGGTGGGATACAAATAAATGAATAAAATAAGGATAAATACACCATACTAAGGATAGTTCATTAAACAAAATTAATTTTAAATCAACACCATCCCCCTTTGTAAAGTTATTTTTCAACAGTAATAGTAAAAAAAAAAAACATTCTGTTTCTCAATAATCATTCTATGATCTTTGCAAAATCACAGAGGTCAGAAAAGAACAGAAAATACCTTCAAAAAGAGGGGGAAAAGGCCTTGGTAACTACAGACTGGTCTGTTTGATGCTGATGAGAAAGACAGTGACAAAATGAGGAGTATCAGCTAGGGGTATTGGGATTTTAGCTTGGAGAAGAGAACACTGCAGAGAGACATGATAGTTCTCTTCTAGTATTTGAAAGGCTGTAATATAGAAGACGCAGAATTGTTCAGAAGATATAACAAGAAACAATGGATTGAAATTATGAGGATGTAATTTAATTGGCTAGAAATCAGGAAAATTGCCCTACTATTCTATTATTAATGAGACCATAATATGCCACAAATAAATGAGAATGTCCTGAAATAACCCATACAGGACCAAATTTGTTTAGTTCTGCATTAAATAGCAACCTATTATAATTAGTATGAAACTCTGGAACAATAAGATATTATGCTAATACATATTATTTAGAAATCTCCTAAAACAGAACAAATCTGACTTGGAAAAATAGTTTGTAAAGAAAATGCTACGTAGTTATCCTTATTTAGCAACTGCCCCAGAGAGCAATTGTTTGCAAATATGACTGTAATTAAACAGAAATTAAAGTCCATTTTCCAACCAATGTGGCATCTAGGGCAACGAACACCTCTGGTGTGAAAATGTTTATGGTGTGGTCAGTTTTAGGCAGCAACTGAAAGCGAGGTAGAGGTTCTTAACTATTTATTAAGGTCACATGGTTGAGCTTGTTAACCTTTAGTTAGAACATTTTAGAGAAACACTTTTTTAGCTGTTTGAAGAGAAAAACAGCTAAGGAAGAGATGGTTTGCTCAAACAATCTGTCCCGCAAGGGGGCAAAAAAATTGGCAAAAATGAGTCAGGCACAGAATTCTATATGAGAAAATTTTATCTGAATAAAATGGCAGCAACAAATGATCTTTGCAGTCTCTCTCATATCACTTAGCAACCATTTTGCTTAAGTAGCAAAATCAATAAAATTAAACATATTCACGCGTGCACGTACTGGATATATATATTTGCATTTCTTTTGTATATAATATTACTGATATTGTTATGAGTGAGTCTTCTATGTAGCTGAATATTTATGGTTTGAAAACTGTATTTATATACTTTTTTCCTATTTGAAAAAATATTAATGTTTCTCTCCTGTAAAATATGTCTTTCATTTAAAATCCTGTGATAACTAAAACTTTGTAACTATGCATTCTAGGTTTTCAAACGAGCTCTTTAATACTCAAATGGAAGAAGGAGATGACCAGCAACAAGACAGATGGATTCAATATCAGTGGCAATGGGTGTACTGTTACAAGAGCCGAAAGGCGAAGCTTGAGACAGAATAATCTGAAGGAAGTCTATGGGGCTACTAACAATACCAACTAGATGGCACACAATCAAATATGAAAGATGAAAGATATCTTGATCTTTTGTGGGAATAGGAAGCGGAAATGCTGTATGCTGCCTTGAGTTGAAAAAATAAAGGCAGACTAAATTAAAGACATATGAACTTGCTGCATTACCTGTTTCCTTTTCTCTACTGGTATGATGGCCAAAGTCAACTTGTATTGTAACTAAGAAGAGAAGTGCTCAAGCCATCTTTCAACATTGCTTACATCATTATCAAATAATCTTGTAATTAATGGCTTGCCTACCAAAATCTGCCAGTTTCAACTCCCCAGTGTCACTGATCAGAAGATTTTGGGGTTTCAGATCCCTGTGCAAAATGTAACGTTGGTGGATGTACGAAAGTCCTCGCAGCAATTGAAATAAAAATAACTGAAAAAGAGGGGGGAAAACATGTTCATTAATATTTGTATGTAGTGCATTGCTTTCCTACATAAAGATTAGAATGCAATAATGTGAAACGTTATTAATATAGATATTATTTAAAACCAGGATTTTTAACTGAACCAACAGGAATTAACACACACATACGTTTCACTACATCCAACTACATAACCCTTCTTTAACAATTCTCAATAGTAATTCCATCAAAAAATAAATCGTATCAAATCACAGTTATAGTCTATTTATTTGCATAGCTTTACAGATTAGATGACAGCCTAAAGACAGGTGTGTATGCTTGCTAATTATAGAGAATAACAGCACATGGAAAGTAGAAATGCACAAGAACACATTCCTTACAAGAAAAAAAAATAGGAGTGAAAACAGATTATATTCAAAGATATTTTAGCTGCAGAAAGTCATTCAAATCTTTATTTTGAAAGCTCAAACTATGAAAGAAGTTATTTTATTTTTTTCATTCATCTACAGTAGCTTTCAGAACTGACAATGAGATTAGCCATTTTCTCAATATGTCAACCAATGTACATTTTATATAGTATTAAAAATTCAGACTTGTATTACTTTTATTTATTTATTTATTATTAAATTTATATCCCGCCCTTCTCCCCGAAGGGACTCAGGGCGGTGAACAGCCGAGAATTAAAATAACATACAATATAAAAGTTAAAATAATTAAAAATAAATTAAATTAAACGGCCGCCCCAATTTAAAACCCCTAGCAATACAATTAAAAAAACCCTAAAACCTATTCAGGCCAGGTTTGATGTATGAACAACATTTGTCAAAACATTACATCAAAAACTGTCTTGGATGCTGAAAAAATATTATTATTCCATGCAAATTTCACAGAAGTTTAAGGCAAAAATAAATCCTTTGAAAAATAATTGTTTTAACATTAATATTAATGATAAAAAACAATCTGATAATAGAGACAAACAATACAAATTCATGTTGTATAGCAGTGTATTTTTATAAGATTTATAAGTTATTATAAGTTTTTAGATTCAGTATGCTGAAATGAAATAGTTCCTAATTACTTATCAGCTCAACACCTGTATGAACTTGAAATTATGATTATGAAAGAAGTTAATATAAAATATGGAAGTACAGAAATCTTTAATTTCTTTTCCTATATACATACACACTACTTTAAAAAGAAGTTTTTGTTGAGGATAATATTTGCTAATAAATACAGGAATAATATTAGAACTTTCAAATAGAAAACTGCACTGCACTGCAATAAAAAAATGAAGCATTTTTTTTAAAAAAATGCAACTGTATTATAAAACTTTATTTTGAAAAAATACAGAATTAGGATGGCTGGAACCAACTGCATGGAAGTTTATTTCTGACTCATCCACCCACCTCTTATTGACATTTTTTCCAGGAAGAAAAACACAGAGAATTAATTTAAGTTGTTGTGGCCTCTCAGCTGAATTCTTGCTATAGTAAAAGTTTCAAAAAATGTCACTGGAGTTAAAACAACATGTTTTCTTCTCATCTATATTCCATTAAAACGCACAACAACTTTAGGCTAGTCTCCCATTACTGTAAAAGTTATACACACAGAAGACTACGTAACTCAGGTGTTCTTCTAGCACTTTATGTGCTTTTATTAACCCCTTTTAATTAACATTATATATACGGTAATCTATGTTTCTGGAGGGAAAATTATAGCAACATCCCAGTACCAGATCGTCTCTGCCCAGTTCAGAAAGATCAGTGAATTAATTTCTTATGTTCTGTTGCATTGTTCAATTTATTAATTAGAAACTATGCTTTATTAATGCACCCACTAATTAATTGCTTGGACCGGTTGGATGAGGATAATTTCTGCTACACAACCAAATGTGTAGATTATCTTTAAGGACCAAAGGTTCTGTTTCATTCATATTTTTCCTATCGAGTTTTAAACTCAAAATTAAAAATCTATTTGGTTTGAAGAGAACACATTAGACTTTGGAATAAAAATATCTGAATGATGTCTCAGCCAAAGCTTTAATGATTGGGAAAACAATCATTTACATGTAAATTACATAATTTACATATGAATAAATATATTAAAGTTTTAAATTTATAATTTAAACACATAGAGGCATCATCTTATGATCATGCTATTTAGTCCTTATTCTCATCCTGAATAAAGGATGATCTTATTTTAAAACTATCTAAATTATTTTAAAATGTCCATTTAATGATAGCGTAAAAAGAAATAATAATATTTTTGCTGTTCTGTCCTGACAACTGCACTTTAACTGAGGTATTGCTTTTCAGTAATGAGTCCAGGGACGTGTGGGAGGAATGTTGCCATATGAAGGTCAAACCAATTTAGGGGTTTATGGAGTGTGGTATCAGTGTGTTAGCAATGATTAAACTGTAAGGGCAAACACATTAAAAACAACAATTTTTCTAATAAAGACACATCAGCTCTTACATCAAAGAGATACATTTTTCCAATTCTCATTATAGATTACAGAGTGAAACATATCCTGCTAACAAGAAATACCATTCATTGCACTTGAAACTGATGTGCTAAGAACAAAAGCATGAGGAAATAATATAGAAAGCTAAAAATTTAGCAATACAAATTTTTAATTTTTTTAAAACTCTGTTTAAAAATGCTTGAGAAAATGTTAGTCTGAAGAAAAACTGAGTGATTAGAGGTTCGTTTCTCTAGTAACTGGTGCTAGAGAATTTCTTTATTTAATTAAGAGGGAAAATATTGCAACTGTGATTGTTCACCTGGTGAGGAACAGCTTTCTATTATTTTATTTTTCTTTTCAGAACTTCAAGACCAGCTTCTGGTAAAATGTTGTGAAGGAATGAGGAAATAAATGTTCTGTCCAAGCTTTTGCTTGTTTGTTTGTTTTCTTACTATAAGTGTATGGGGGAGGAAGGCAAGCAAGCAAGCAGTGCCTTTTCCAACAAGCATCATATCTAGCTTTTCAATCCAGTCAGTCCCGCTAATTCTGTTATGACCAGGGTTTTCTACATGTAGTAGATGAATGATAAAACATAGTGTATGAATGAAAAATTAACTCATTTTATTCCCAATAATATGTAAAGAAACATAGTCTGCTATAGGACAAAGAACCCTATAGTTATTTTTGAAAATATGACAGCCTCTGTGCATATTATTAAAGTGACTCTTCTTTGTGTGTCAGAATAAGAGATGTTATCTGCATCCTGAAGGAAGGTAAAGAGAAGAGTTGCGATATTTGACAATTTACTGCTGAAACAAACATGCTGATTGAAATCAGTGACTTGTGAAGAGTGTGATCTGTCAGGAGCATGGATTAGGGATGTGACAGAACAATTTCCAGTGCTTATCAAATTCACTGACAGTGATCCCTTCTATTAATCTGTGTGGAGATAAACTGTTAATGCCAAGAGCAGCTACATCTGTATCACCTTATAACATCTAAGCAAGAAGTTCAAGAATATGGGGCTCAGGTGGTATTCGTATCTGTGAGTTGCCTTCTACTTCAGAAGAAATAATTGGTTAAAAAAAGAATTTGGCTGAACCATGACAAGCTTGATCAAGAGGGCTTTGAAAGAATCCTAAGGAAGTTATGGCAATAAAACTGCATACAAAGATTTATGCACCATATAAAAAAGTAGAAGTGCTTTAATTGCCTTATTGAAACACAGCAGTAAAGAATATAATTTAAATAGAAAGGAAGCAGAGACAGGGGAAAGACTTGAATACTGAATTTACACACACAAAAACACACACAAAACACACACACGCAAGAGGGAGAAGGGAGAGAGAGCAAAAAAGAAATCCAAGAGAATGGATTGTGGATTACCATTCCTACAGAAACATAAGCACTGAGGTGATCATAGTAGTCACATCATAAACTTAATTTGCAATGTAGAATTGATTTATTATTTTATACCTACTACTACTACTACTATTACTACTGATAATTTCTTCTTATAATTGTACTGAAAGGGTTTTTCTAATGTTCATAATCAGTGGCTCTGTCAAAACTGGCATCATCATCTTCCACAGAGCATTTATATTTTTATAGGCAAAAGTGGTAAAGGTTTTTTTGAAGATGCAAGTATAGGATAATATAATATAGATCCATCATATATATAATTTTATGGATGATATTCATGTTTATTGTAATTAATTCCTAAATGACAGACAAATATACAAAATAGAGCATTGATTATATATTTAACTATTGAACAGCTTATTTAAAATCAATTTTCAATGCCCTCTGAAAAAGGCAGCTTTAATTTAACATAATATTATCCTACCCTTTTCTGCACCTGCTTATCCTCGGAACAGTAATGGGAAACAGCTACTTATCATTTACTTTAAATGAAAATAATTCTGTTCAGCATATCCACTATAATTAATGTCAAAATTTAGCCCTGTGACTTAATAATTTCATTTCTATGACACTAAAAACTTTTGATGTGTACCCATCTGACTTTTAAAATACCGTAGCTTTTATGTATTGACATAAAATTGACATATCATTGTATTTGAAAAGTTACAAATATAATATTTCGAGAATGGATCAAAAATTTGTTCCAAATTTAATGAAGCAATTATAGAGATTAACCACCCACATATATTTAAATATTCATGTTTTAAAAGGGGTTTTATAGCTTATAATGCTGAACCTACAGATACAGAATTAAATCTAGGTATAGAATTATTTTTATATATTTACTGATTCATTAAAAATTATTATTCAAAGTTTAAAAAAAGCAAAACATACTAACTTATTATACTCAGTCTAATAGGTTCAAAATCATGAAACTTCATTAAAATGCTTTATGGTAGAGTTCTGAGAACAGACAATATAAAAATTACATTAATAAAACCAATAAATATTCCAAATACTTCTTTATGCAAGATTCAGATTTTCCAATGGATCATAAAATATTATCTTTTTGTTGATTGGAATTAAGTCTTGTTTCATTTATTGTCTTGCATAGTAGTACTTGAACATACATTAGAGTAATTTTGGAAAGTATTCCTTTTATTTACAATTTAAATATTTATCTTAACAGATATTAAGTAAGTAAGCATACACCCACACACACTGTCTATTAATGTATTATTTTAAGCAATTAGAAAAGAATATTTGGAAATATGCTTTATATGCACTTTCAGATGCATATTTAAAATGTTTACATCTTTATTTTTAAAGAGAAAATATGAATAATAATGGTTAATGAATTGCATACATGTTCTGAGGGCTTTTTAACACCATATTGTTTTGAGGCAATTTCAAACTAAATTACTTATGCTTTTAAAATATAAATATTTATAAGACGACAAAGACTTTGATTGTTAATATCTAATTTGGTCATTAAGAGCTACAGTTATTCATTTTCAAGACCAGATATCTTAGGCAATGTAACTGTTTAAGGAACAATGTTGGTAGCAATACATAGCCCAAACGAATTTTAGTTGCTACAAAATCTTTTAAAAAATCTTTTTATAAGTAGCACAACAATCAAAGTCTGTTTGTTCTGAAGAAAACTTAATACATACTGCTGAAAATTCAAATACTTATCAGCTGGTTCCCTTATTTCAGGCCACTTATCTTGTCTTCTTAGAGGTATTACAAGTTTATATTATTGCTTGTGACATGCCATATTGTGAAGGTATGTAAAAAGATGGAGAGCACACGCACCTAGAGTCATATACTACAGCCTGGCAGTTTTGATTGTATGAAATGCTAGTAGAATTCTGTCAAATATTATAGGTAGTTCTCAGTTAACTACTCACTTAGTGACTGTTCAAGGTTATGATGGGACTGAAGGAGTAGTGGTTATGACCAATATTCAAAGTGCCAGTCATCCCAGCACCACTGCAGTCACATAATTGCAATCTAGATAGTTGACATCCAGCTATCAATGATGACAGTTGCAGCATCCCATGGTCACATGACTGCAATGTGTAACTCTCCTGCTGGTTTCACAAAAGGAACAAGCAGGGAACTGGCAGGGAAGGTTGCAAGTTGCTTGGGCAAGTCTCCTGCACCCATGCACCCTCTCTGTCTCACTGCACTCATATTGTGCCTCCCCCACCATTCATGCATCCTCCCTAGCAACTCGTGCAGTCAGGCACCTAGCAATAGCCACCTCAAGCCCCATGACACACATTCTGTGCCCCCTGCTACTTGCACACCTTCTGTCACTCAGCAGAACCCTGCTGTTCTTGTGCTGTGCCTCTCCCGCCACTCACAAATTCTTGCATACAGTCTTCCACTTGGTTAGCAGCCACCACAGGCCCTGTCACACTCATGCCCCCTGCAACCTGTATACACTTGTGTAACCATTCTCATCTGGCAGCAGTCATTGCAAGCCCTGCCGCATTTGTGCATCCTGCCACACGTGCCTTGCACACCCTCTTCCACCTGATAGCAGACATCACAGATCCTGCCATGCTCACACTTCTCCTGCTACTCAAATACACTAGCATGCCTTCGTCCCAACCAGTATCACCCATCCCAAACCCCACTGGTACATCACCCTACACAGCTCTCTTCTTACAAAGATTTCTATATTTTTGAATTGTGACTGCGTTTGCCAAGTTCTGCAGTTTTTAGATAGAATGAATGCATCTTGCAATCATTTATTCAGCTAATATTATACTCTATTATGTTCTGTTCTATATTGGTCATAATAGAAGAATAAATAAACAGCAATGGTTTTGTAGACACTTAACTCATTATGGCCTCTCCTCCTCTCCTCCATGGATCATATAAAATACCAGAAGACTGCCTAGATGATTTAGCAGGCTTCTTTCTGATAAAGTCATTTAATTCTTTTAGGAGAAATTTAAATTGCAAACTCACATAAAAAAACCAGCAGCATATGTCATATGGTACATAGCATTACTGAGATGTTTGTTGATAAAAAAACCTAAAGGAATTTTATATTTGTACAAATAGTACATTATGGTTTTTGAAACAAATACTGCTGTATGAGTAACTGACTCTCCATTTATGCTAAAATAATTTGGCTGATTTCCATGTAAGTAAACAGGGCAAACCTGTCTATTTACCTGGAAATCTTTGACTGAATAAAGAAGTAAATTTAGGTAGTTGTTATGGTCCCACTTTAAAAAAGCCCTCAATATAATTAAAAATCTAAATTACTTTTCTTTTTTGAAGCGATCTAATCATTAAAAGACCTGTTTATAATTACATTATTCATTGGCATCAAGTTAGCAGCTGGAGGGGATAGTAAATAACTTCGTATCATAATATCATCATGCAAAGGATGTGAATTACATTTCATGTTAATGATATTATGATGTAAATAACCTATAGTATATCATTTGCATTTGCCCAATGACACCATAATATATACTACAGCATCTGCCCCAATCTTGCAACTAATGGTACTGGTTTCTGCAGGGTAGAATTAATCTACTTAAATTAACTATATATTATTGCTCATTGTAAGACAATAATATAATATTTATTTGAAAAGTTGTATCCTACCTTCACATTGTCTGGATGAAGTCCTCCAGGATGTTTGTCCATGTATTGACATAAATCTGTATGCTTGAAAACAGAAAAGAAATAATATTTTTCAATGTCTTTTTTAATCAAATCTGTCTACTTCTGTTTGACAGTTACTATAATACATTCCTCTGGATATAACAAATGGAAAATAAGGAAAATGTAAGTATAATTTAAATTGTGCCCTGTTTATACTACCATCAGGCTCTGTAATATATGATTAGTATATTTGCATATCATTCTATTCTATCTATCTGTAATATAATAACACAAAGACTAGAATCTCAAACAATTTAAGGTATAATCCAAGATAGTTAAATAATAAATAAGCATTCTTACAATATATATAAATCATGACCAAACAAGTAATAAGCATTTTGATAGAATTTAGGAAGTTTAAACATGATTGTTTCAAAAGTTCAAAGGTAATGAACTTGGGACTGCAACAAAAAAAGAGGGGGCTAACCTATTCTCCAAAGCACTTGAAGGCAAGATAAGAAGCAATGGAGGGAAACTAATCAAGGAAAAAAGCAACTTAGAATTAAGGAGAAATTTCCTGACAGTTAGAACAATTAATCAGTGGAACAACTTGTCTCCAGAAGTTGTGGGCACTCCACACTGGAGGTTTTAAAGAAGTGATTAGACAACTATTTATCTGAAATGGTATAGCGTTTCATGCTTGAGTAGAGTTCGACTGGAAGACATCCAAGGTCTCTTCCAACTCTCTTATTTTGCTATTCTGTTATTATTAGAGATTCTAGAACTGAAGCAGGAATCAGACAAACCATGTGACTATTGTTCATATAAAATGTTTTAACACTTTTAATGCCTGATGGATCCCGAAAGGTTCCTGACGGAGCTTGGGCCATTTCCTGAGACTCTGACACACGACTCGACTGAAGAGCTGGTGGCCGCCTGGGAGAGTGCGGCTGCCGGAGCTTTGGATCGCGTCGTGCCTTTGCGGCCTCTGACCCAATGCTGATCTCAATTGGCTCCTTGGTTCTCTGAAGAGCTGAGAGAGATGAAGCGTCGGAAAAGACGCCTGGAGAGCATTTGGAGGACTAGTCAATCCGATTCCGACTGGACACAGGTGAGGTCTTATATCAAGACCTACCTAGTGGCGATAAAAGCGGCGAAATCTAACTATTTTTTTGCTCTTATCGCATCTGCAGAGAACCGCCCAGCTGCCCTGTTTAGGGTGACCCACTCCCTTCGGGGGGGAGTGCGGGAAGATCCCTTGCAGAGTCGAGCTGAGGAGTTTGTGCAATTCCTGCATGATAAAGTCACTCGGATTCAGGATGGCTTGGACTCCGATTGGATGAGTCCAGGAAGGAGACAAGGGAAGGTCTTGAGAATATTATCTGGGAGGAGTTTGATCCTGTGGCTCCCAAGGATGTGGACAGGGTTCTGGGTAAGATTATTGGACCCGTGTCCCTCCTGGTTGGTACTGGCCTCCCGGGAGGTTACACGAGGCTGGCTCCAGGGAATTATAAGTGCTTCTCTGAGTGGGAGTGCTTTTCCTGCCACCTTGAAAGAGGCGGTAGTGAGGCCCCTCTTCAAGAAGCCCTCCCTGGATCCGGCTGAATTAGCCAACTACCGTCCGGTCTCCAACCTTCGTTTTGTGGCGAAGGTTGTTGAGAGTGTGGTGGCACGACAGCTTCCCCGACACCTGGATGAAGCTATCTATCTGGACCCGTGCCAGTCGGGCTTCAGGCAGGGGTACAGCACAGAAACGGCATTGGTCACGTTGGTGGATGATCTCTGGAGGGCTCGGGACAGGGGTTGCTCCTCTGTCCTAGTCCTATTAGATCTCTCAGCAGCTTTTGATACCATCGACCATGGTATCATGCTGCAGCGGTTGAGGGGGTTAGGAATAGGGGGCACCATTCTGTGGTGGTTCTCCTCCTTCCTCTCCAACCACTCACAGTTTGTGTTGGCAGGGGGGCAGAGGTCAACCTCGAGGCACCTCGCATGGGGAGTGCCGCAAGGGTCGGTCCTCTCTCCCCTTCTGTTCAACATTTATGTGAAGCCGCTGGGTGAGATCATCCATGGTTTTGGGGTGAAGTGTCATCTGTACGCTGATGATACTCAGCTGTACATCTCCACCCCAGACTACCCCAACGATGCCCTTGATGTGATGTCTCGCTGCCTGGAGGCCGTGCGGGTCTGGATGGGGAGGAACAGGCTCAGACTCAACCTGTCCAAGACCGAGTGGCTGTGGCTACCGGCTTCCCGATATAGTCAGCAGGTGCCATCGCTGACTATTGGGGGTGAATCTTTGCTCCCCACAGAGAGGGCTCGCAATCTGGGTGTCCTCCTGGATGCACGGCTGTCTTTAGAAGAGCATATGACGGCCATGGCCAGGGGGGCCTTTTATCAGGTTCGCCTGATTCACCAGTTGCAGCCCTTTCTGGACCGGGACGCCTTGCGCACGGTCACTCACGCCCTTGTCACCTCCCGGCTGGACTATTGTAATGCTCTCTACATGGGGCTCCCCTTGAAGAGCACTCGGAGGCTCCAACTGGTCCAGAATGCGGCCGCGCAGGTGGTTATGGGCACAACTCATTGTGCCCGCATGACACCCCTCCTGCGCAAGCGGCACTGGCTCCCAGTGGTCTTCCGGGTGCGATTCAAGCTGTTGGTCACTACCTTTAAAGCGCTCCATGGCACAGGACCCGGGAACCTTTGAGACCGACTTCTGCCACCAATAGCCTCCCACCGGCCAGTTTGCTCCCACAGAGAGGGTCTCCTCAGGGTGCCATCAGCCAAGTTATGTCGGCTGGTGACACCCAGGGGGAGGGCCTTCTATGTGGGAGCCCCAGCCCTGTGGAATGAGCTGCCCCCGGAAATACATAAGATCTCCGACCTCTGGGTGTTTCGCTGTGCACTGAAGACCCTGTTGTTCCGCCAGGCTGGGCTATCAACATAATAATTTTAAATTGGGGTATTTTAAATTTGTGGGGTTTTAAATTGAGCCAAATTTATTTAATTATTTTAAATTTTTAATCGATGTTTTGTCTTGTGTTTTTAAATAGGCTGTACACCGCCCTGAGTCCTTCGGGAGAAGGGCGGTATAGAAAAATTATTATTATTATTATTATTATTATTATTATTATTATTATTATTATTATTATTATTATTATTATTATGCATTAAATAGCTTAATTTAGCAAATTTAAGAACAAGGAAAAAATTTTGTTTCAAGAAACATAAATTTGTTTCACAATATTATTATTTGTATACAAAGGATAATCTTAACCTACATTCTAAAAAACAAAATTTTCCAGTTACCCTTGCTAAGTACATTGTTTATTTAATTTTTGTGAAAAATTGGAATGTAGAAATACCTCTACATGTATACCAAATACATTTATTCTCTTGAATATATTTTAAATGGTGTTCTTTGTGCTACCAAGCAAAACAAATGAACAGTTTAAGTATACCATTTAAACCCTTTTAGAGAATCAGCAGTGACTGTTACAGGAACAGACATCTAGTATTTAGCCACCCAGCTTTACCTTAGTAGCAGTTCCTTTTATAACACAAAATTTGTTTAAGGCAGACTTTATTAAGAATACAGTAGTTGGGATATATTCTCTCATGCAGAAATGACCATTAGGAACTACAAATAGCTACAAAGTCCTACAAAGTATGAATGTGAGAGTCAGCTATGCTTCTGAAAAAGTTGGATGTATATGAAATTTCTACTTCTATATTGGCAAAAGATTGGTGTCATTTGAACAATGGATTCATGAGATTTCAGGCCGTATTACTGAATAAGAGTTTGCAATGTAAACTGGTTGAAACTGCAGCAAAACATAAGGGATGAAAAATGAAGAACTAAATTTATAAGCAATTTCCTTTCCATTCTTCAGTCCTATATGAATACTATTATACTAGATGGTTACCTTGCAATGCTTTATTAGTTCCTTTTTACAGGAAATTCATTATACTATCAAATCATTACTGCCTTGTATGCTTGCCTTTTTCAGAGTGCAGAAAACTTGTTCTTCCCCCCCCCTTTTTTTTTTAAAGTAAGACTAGGACAATCTTCACAGATCGCCTTAGGATAGTCTTCCATCATGAAAGTCACAGTTCAGATATTTCTTTTAACATTTGAGAGATAGGGGAATTGTGTCTTTCATCAAATATTTAAGTCCTGGTATTCCTCTCTATTTCTCTTTTGGCAGTTTCATCAGTAGCAGTTACAGTAATAATTTTAATTCACCAATAAAAAGTCATATATATATATATATATATATTTGTGCAATGTCACAGAAATGAAAAAATATATGATAGCTAATTTATAAATTGATTTAAAGTTGTTAATAAGTTTTTAAAGATTTTCCAATGTATATTTACTGTAACACCAAAGAATTAATATATTTTTGCCTACACTTTTTAAAAATAATAAATAAATAAATAAATGAAGAAAATATTTTAAAGATTAATGGCACACCAGTGTACTATATAATGAGTCACATGTATTCCAGCGATCAGGAGTCTGGCAACATCTTTTCAGACTAACATATTTTATTAAAAGTATAAGATTTCATGAACTGCAGTTTACTTTGTGAGATTCCTGGAATGGTTAAACTGAATCTATGATTCAACTGGGTTAAAGCAAAGGGGGAAAAGATGGGGGAAATGAGGACAAGGTTATTACAGAGATACAGATTACATGCCATGTTAAAATAAGCTACATTAGAAAACCAATGTTAACTTGGTGGGGGGGGGAGGTAATGTGACTGGATGGGAATGGTCAATTTTTTTTTCTTTTCAAAAAAAGAAATCCCGGGTTTCAGGCGCGGACACAGCACAGAAACGGCATTGGTCGCCCTGGTGAATGATCTCTGGCGGGCCCGGGATGGGGGTTATTCCTCCATCCTGGTGCTACTTGACTTCTCAGCGGCTTTCGATACCATCGACCATGGTATCCTACTGCGATGGCTCCGGGGGCTGGGGGTGGGAGGCACTGTTTTACAGTGGTTCTCCTCCTATCTCTCGGGCCATACACAGTTTGTTTGGGCGGGGGGGTCAGA